AGTCAATAATAAGGTCTTTGATAATTGTGCCCTGTAAATGTGTTTTACAAATTTTATAAGTAATTTTAAGAAATTGTGCTTACAAGTATGCAGCCAAGTAATTTTATTTTTAGTGAAATTATCAGTAAGAAAGTAATTATTTATATTATCGTTTAACTTTTTTGTATCTATTGTTGAAAGAAGTTTATTTTATGTTTATTACCTGCTCTGGTTCCTCGTAATGTTTTTTTACTGAATAATTTAAAATGGCTGTAAGTTGGAATTTCAGAATTTAATTTAATGTGTTGGTGGAATGTATTGAGTCCATAAGGGTAAAGTGTTTTGAATTTAAACATGTAGAGTGACTCTTGAAATAATCTAACTTTGTATTCAGGCACAATGTCCAAAATTTGAATATTAATTTTTTTGAAATCATGTATTTGAAAATGTTCTAATTCAGCTGTATTAAGTGTGCTAAAATTAGTTGTATGTATATATAGGTATGTATACACACATTTGTGCTGATACATACAAAAAATACACATGTGCATACATGCATATATTTTTTAATGCGGTCCGGATAACAGAAGAGTACCAGAATCTCATGAGAGGATATTTGTAAGAGAATTTAAGGTAGAAAGAGAATTAATGCAAATAAGGAAGTTGCAACTTAATGAACAAGGATTAGATATCCACTGAATTGATTCACTAATGCACAATAGTTCAGATTCATTGCATTTGTGGTAAATTCTAAAGAATTTGTTTTCCTGTTCAAAACTATGAGGGAAAATGACATAAGCTTGTCCAACTTGATTATTAACTTTACTGCCATCTATATAACATATAGCTAGGGAATTACCTTCAGCATAATTGTCTGGATATTGGAAATTGTTTAAAGCATTGAACATAGTTAAGTACAAAAAACATTCTAGAATGCTGGATTTTTCAAAATTAATTTAACAGAGATCACTAATAATGATAATCAAATTAAAGGACCTCTTCTTTAGTTTGATCTTTTAATGGTGAAATTTAAATTGAAGACCATAATACATGGCAAGTAATGAAATCTGTATGTTGAAAATTCAAGCTTGGAAATTAAGGCATTCATGAAGATGAAAAAATGCATTGAAGAGAAGATGCAAAGATAAAAAAGCAACTGATGAGGCAAATAATAGCAAAGACTGTTTGCAATATACCATGATTAAAAACTTTCTTGCGCCATGGGGCTCATTTATGGATTTATTATACCAAACAAGCTAAAGTTTCATCTTAGAAAGATTTTGCAGCAAAATATGAAAGTAAAAGCTATTTTGACAGATTATTTCTGATAAATTATATAACATGTGTCCACATAATTTGTTTAAAAGCCAGAAAATTATTTTTCATTTCCTTTTATTTTATTTACTTATTTTTCAAATTTATTCACTCATATTTAATTACTACCTAATTATTTCTTATATTACTAATTATGTTGCATTTTCTTTAGAGTGGTTTAAAATTTCCTATGTATGAAACAAATTAATTTCCTGACATAGCTGTCTTTTCTCACAGACTCTTCCTATCAATGGACAAAAACCCATAGTCAGTGAAGGTCTGCTATTGTCAGATTTAACAACTGTAAATGTATCTGATGATAATTGTCTGACATTTAAAATTTATGTTCATGCTAATTTTGAAGATAAATTAATATTTAAGGAAGGAGGGTTGTAAATTGAGGCTGGTAAAGTTATCAGTTAAAGCAAATTGCAAAATAAAGCAAATGCATAATTGTAAACTATGGTCATGTCTCATTACTCATACAAGCTGTATTCTTATATTTGCATTTCATATGTAGTTTTTAAGAGTATCAAATTGGTAAATTTTTACAAAACTGTATTAATATGATAAGAAATAGAAGAGTAAAGTCTTTACATGCAGCTTTATAAGTTCTACTGCTGTCCATAAATGTCAAATTTTGCAACTGTAAATTTCAGGATAAGAATGTTCTGTATTTGTCTTTCTATAATCAGTATATTTATTTAATTAAAATGATGTAATTTATTTATAATCAGTTGATAAGTGAAAAATTCTACTTTAAATAATAACAGTATAATGATATGATACTGTTAATTTGATACTTAACCATGGCTTCAAAAATAAATTCATATCAATTTTTTCTTGTCATGAATAGGAAATGTCTCTAGAAAACAATTCATAAAAATCTTTCAGTTCTAGTTAATGATCGCAATTCCAATCCATCTTTACCCTCATCTTTTAAGAAAAGTATACCATAGTTGTTTTCATTGTTCATCTGTAAATATTGCCAGTAGCTTGACTTTCGTCCTGTCACCGTTATCGCCTGAGCACAGGCTTCTCTTTTGTTACTTGCCCTTCTGCAGCTGAAGAAGGTTCTATATTTAAATCTTCAAAACTGGTCTTGTTAAATTTAGAAATAATAAGCTGATTATTTTTGCCTTAGGACCTCATAATAGCTGTTATAGTTATAGATTCTTTACACTTAGTGTCATGATTAAAGTTTTTATTTTTACACTGTTAAAATTTTAAACTGGTATTAAATTAGAATGGAGTCCATTTTTGGCACTTAAGTGAGATCTTAATGCATTTGAATAATACCAGAGCCTCAAATAAAAAAACTTTTAGTACAGCCCTTCAGCAATCAAGTGGTTAAATTAATGAGCACTGATAGTTTGGAGCCAAACTCTAATCTCAGTAAACAGGATGGCTGCATAGGAATTTTTTTTAGTCTTTTTCCAGGTGTAATGAGAATATGACTCAATTGTCTTTAAAAAGTTTTCCATGAAGGCATCTCCCATGTGTGCTTTATCATATTTAAATAACTGAAGTAAGCTTCAACCCTTCTTGTATATTGAACGTTTAATGGTATGAAAATTACTTTTAATTTATTATTCATTCATTCATTTTTTATTTGTTTGATTATATTGTTTAATTTTTATATTTTCATTCGATCTTTTCTTATTTATCATTAACTCGTACATTTTTTTTTAAAAATTGTACTTTCTTTTATTTATTTTTGCTCACTTTTCTTGATAGTCTTCCATAGGGCTCTGGCATTTGTAATTTAAAATATTAAGCCTTAACTATTAAAAGTACTGATTGTAAAATTATTTAATAACAATATATCTCACTTCCCATGTAATAGTAACTTTAAGGATTGATTTCTTTTTGTTGCTAAAACTGAGATCGTGTGTTCTCTATTAGCATTTAGGGAAACCTCACTTAACCCTCTGAGCGTTATGACCGGCTTTATCTGGTCATCAGAAGTTTTGCTATTTTGCATATATTAGCTTATAATTTAAGCTATTTTGCTTTCTTAATTTCTTTAATGATGTAAATATTATCTTAATGAATGTAAGTTTATGAAAGTACAGACTAATACATACTCAATTAATAAATGCTGTTTAAATATCGGTCTTCATGATGGATCTAAAATCGTGCGCCGCTCAAAGGGTTAATGTAATTATTCCCTTAACTAATATATACTCAGCAAAATCATGTCAAGTGAATACAATAAGCAATAGGAATAATTTTAATTCATCCTCGGTTGCCATAATTTGAGGATGGAATTATTACATTGAAGGATAAAATCCTTACATTCAATAAAAATTAAATGCTTAAATTTTTTATGGCTAAACGTTTCATAGAGCTAATCTATTTTAAATAAAAATTAAAAATTTTTTCTTTGCAATCTTATTGTGATTAAAAATTAGCTCAAATTCTTGTGCAATTAATCTATGATGTAGTTTTGGGCTAGAAACAAAATTAGTTACTACCTGTCAGGTTTAAATAACATCGGAGAATATAAGTGAGAATAATTTTTTCTTCTAAATAATGAGGGACCTTATAGAAAGGGAAAATGGATCTTTATTAAATGCTGGGGGGCAGCCATTTAATAAAATATGATACACAATGTAACAGATCGTATTAATAAAATGTTCAATTTCTAATACTAAACTCTCACTGGAAATGAAGAGTATTTTAAATATTTACTTATAAATGCTAGCAATTTAATGCTAAAAATTTGACATTAAAAATATCTTTTAACTTTTTTGACATTGCAGAAGATACCACACCACATACCATTTACATGCTGTAACAACTGTTACCGTTAAATGAGATGTAAAATCTTTAATTAATCTTACATGTGGCTCTTCAGATAGACAGTTTCCAAAGTGATGACAGTTTATATATTAAGAACTTTAATTTATCTCTCAAAACAAACTGAGTGATTTAAAAGTAACTATGTCCACCATTGGTCGAGTGGTTAAAACCACTGAATACTGGTAGTCTGACCTGGGTTCAAACCCATGAAAACGGCCTTCTGCATAATTGGTTTCTGTAGTTTTTCTCATGTGTAACATGAATACAAACCAGTTTCCCTTAAAAAGTTCTCAACAGTCATTTTACCCTTTAGGCCGATCTCATGTCCTTTGACATATTCAAATAGACTTAGAGGTAATAAATCTATTTCTTATTAATTTAAATCTTTGTTTTGTTTCTCAGTTTATCTAACTGATATAATTTAAAGTGCACTAGATAATTATAGACATTTATGTTTCTTGTATTTATGTATTTGCAACAAATGCCATGTGTAACATATCTTGAGGAGAATTGTTTGATTTTGCATGTTTTAACCCTTCTTAATTTAAACAAAATTCATTACATATTAATGGCAAACAATTTTATGTAATATTTGAAAAAAAATGTAATTGCATTGAAAGATTAGGCAATTTTTTAAGGTAAGAAATAGTGGAATTTCATATTGTCACACTAACTGATTATTATGCTTGCCAAATTAATATCAGATTTTTCTTGTATAAAATCTGAAAACTGTACATACAATGGTTTTCATTTAAGATGCGAAATGTAACTATGATTACCTATGACAGTTCTCATAATATAATAATAAATAAAAAAAAAAAAACCCTTAATTTAGTAGTTTTAGAGAATTTTGTTTGTTTCAAGTTATAGGCCTATATTTTTTAGATTTTTCTTAATTTCAGGAAGGTTATGTAGCTGTAACTGGAGTAGCAAATTTATTGCTATGCCTCCAAGCAGATGCTAATGTGGATCTTGGAATGTTGAAAGCAAAGGCAGAAGCCCTGGCAAAATATCTAGAAGTACCTTTAATGCAAGTTTCAGCATCTTCATAAATATATATATATATATGTATACAGACAATACATATAATTTAAAAATGAAATGGTTATAAATGCAATTTGTTATTTTGTAATAAATATTTTGTAAATATTCTGTTTGTCAACTTTAATATTTTTGCAACATCTTTTAATTTTAATATTTCATTTCTTATCTGTTACGTAATCCAATCTGTTATAACTGTTACTTGAATGCGGTAGACATATAAATTTATTTCGTGTAGCAACTTTTCAGATTTTATATTGATTTATATAGATTCATATGGATAATGCAGCAACAAATTCAAAAAAGTTACGGTAGCTATTAAGAGGAACATTAACTGCCTTGGAACATGTTCTTGCAAATCCTTTCATTGGTGAAAATTGTGAAAATAAGGTAGTGTGTCTGTTTAAGTTATATATACTCCCATCTCTGATTCTAGCATTACACGGATGGACCCTACACCTCCATATTAGGTGGGAAGCGGGAAAATCAACAAAAGGGATTCCTCGTTGGGTTCTCGTAAACCACACACAATGGGATCTCACTTCACTGTGGTGAAAATTTTTTTTAACTATCTCTTAGCACTTCTCGCCGAACTGGTAACCCAAGGTCACCACTTCCAGGTGCTCGAAGACCACGTAGGCGGGGAAACTTATTGAAAAACCTGTCTTCTGACCATCATGTTACCTACTCGTATGGTGTAAATCATGACCGTCTGGAACAGCATAGGCTGCCCTTTCGTGGCTGTAGGAACTGGGCCTGTGTTATTGTGCCGACAGGGCCATTACCTTCGTAGTAAAATACTGAGCTAGTATATGCAACACTAGGGAGTAAGGTAGGGTGTGATATCAAGAGAAAAGTTGATGCAGCAGTTGATTAATTGCTGATTTTGTTTGTAGGTTGTCTCATGTCTGATGGCAGCAGCCTTGCAGAATGCATGCATTGGGAGAAGAGTACAAGCTACTGACAGGAGAAGGTGGTATTATTTTTGTGGTAGCCACATGAAATAATTACTTGTCTCTATCATTATGAAATAACATAGGTGATTACATCAGTTAGGAATATGTTGACATGCATTTGATTAGCACAGCAGATGCACTATGAGTATACCTAAAGTGGTAATATGCCCAATACACCACACCACATTACTCCTCATCCCACTACTTTGCCAAAATTAATTGGCAAAGTCACTGTTGGCTGTGCAGTGATGTCTTGCACTTCGAGCAATACCTATAATAGTTTTCTTTATGGCTTTGTATTCTGCATTACAGGTCCAGTTTTAAACATGCTGTGAAGTAATGTTTTCTTATTTACCATTGTAACTTCTTTGACTCCTTCAGCATCAAACCTTGCATAAGTATTTTTGCGATTTTTACAGACTAAAGAGTGTTGATAACATATTCCATGATAATTATTGTTTTTCTTAATGTCTGCTACATCCCTTTGAGTTTATCATCATATTAACAGAATATCCCATATTCTAATATAAATGGTTAACAATTTAGTCTTCTGTTTGGTTTACCTTCTGAATAACATTCCTAAGTATTTATCTAAAGGCATTGTGTACGATACCAGAATAACAGGAATGAAGTAATCAACATGTGATTTTCTTATACAGCAGAATTTTAGTAATCCTTAATTTGTGAGTGTCATAATTTGCAGTAACTTTTGGGTATAAACAAAGTTTAAATTTTTGGGAAATTCAAAAGTAAAATTTATTATATTAATGAACTATAACATATTTTGCTTGAAGAAGCAGATTTTTTTTTTTTTTTTTTTTTTTTTTTTTTGTTTTTTTTTTTTTTTTTTTTTTTTTTTTTTTTTTTTTTACTAAAGTTATTTGGCCTTTTCTCTGCATGGTTCAGCATTTTACTTTTATGGTAAATACAGATCATCAGTCTATAATTTTTTTATGTTAAATAAATCATTACTTTTCGTTGCATATTCCATTGTTTTTCAAAGTTAAATTTGAGTTTATATGATTAACATCTAAAGAATATATTTATCTATAGCTTTTCAGGCTGTAAGTTCCAAATACATAGCTGGTTTGTTTACTTTCTGTACAATTGCTAAGCTTGTTTACTTTGATGGTAAATAAGAATGCATTCCTAAAAATTGCAGTTATAGAGAATTTTCTTGCATTAAAATTGGAAACAAAGTAATAAGGTGCTAAAGAATGGAGAAATTTTCTTCTAGTGAATTCAAATTTTCATTTCTAGCACTTCACATTAATTGTTAAGTGTTAATCCATTTGCTTGTGGCACAGTAGAAAGACATATTTTCAGAATTAGCACAGGGATTTAATTTAAAGGAAATCATCTTACTGGAGGATTTGCAAACAATGTATTTATTTGTATCTTTTCCTCCCAAAAAATTACTTTGAAAATAATTATATATATATATGTGTGTGTGTGTGTGTGTGTTTTGTAAAAAATACTTCCATGTGTTTTTAACTGAAGAAGTCTTCAGAGATTTTCCTATCATTTATCCCTTTTCTGTTTGTCTGACATCTTATTATATAACGTATTAAAAAGAAAAATCTTGCATAAAATTGCAACATGTGGGAAATAAATGTTGATTAAATAATTCTTATTGTATTAATATTTTTTTGATTAGTTGTTTTTGTACAACGAATCCAAATTTTAATGGTTAAATAAAGAGAAAACTATAAATAAAATGAGGAAGATTTGACCTATAAACTTCAAAATCAGTCTGAACAATCTTGATCCCAGGTTATGCCATTTACCAGAATTTTATATTTTTAGACCTGACCTTTTTCTCATGCTTTATTGAATATCAGAAACATATTTAGGGGTTTGAATAAGTTCTTGCACTTTTACAACAGTTGACATGACCAAAACTGTTCATGTGTATGCATAGGCAAGCTTGAAATGTTATCTTGTTGAAATGTAAATAATTCATAGTGTTAAATTTCATAGTTGTGTGTGTGTAAATACATACCGTAATTTCCGGAAGAAAGGGCGCATCAGCGTAAACGGCGCACTCGAGAAAATTGGCAGGAAAAAAATTAAAATTGCACAGAAACACCGCATCAGCGTAAACGCTGCAATAGATTAAATTGCGCGTGACATCGTCGTGGGCCGTATAGATGCAAAATCTCAACCTAAGTCCTGATATATGACATACCAGTTAAGAAAAATGCATGAAATGAAACCATAACTCAAAATAATTAAAGGTAAGAAATGTCGAAAATATATTTACCTCACTATACTTAATTTACCCACTAAAGAATCCATATTTGTAATACTCGACTGTGTTATAAAAAATGTTGCATAACGAATATTAATTTGGATGACAAGGAAATTTTAAATTTTACTTACGAAGGAATTACACAAACTATACACATATAAGACTCAAATCTGATTCTTCATTATCTGATTAAAAGATTAGTAACCTGACTAATCTTCCAGATCGTACATTATCCCTTGTTTACAGTCTCTTTATCTAAGGATATAATTTCAGCTTCTTGAACCCTGCTATTATTGACGATTTTTTTACCGATTTCACGCACTTCCTACCCACTTTGCAACTTCTTCATAAGATGCCTACGCATTTAACGCTTTTGGTATACTTATGCAATCCTTCACTCATCCAACACTCCACCGCTTTCGACTTCCTTTGAAGGATTATTCCTACAAATCAACGTTGTAATTTTTGTCAACCACCAGGAATATTGCTACGGTTGTAGACAGTTTTTGACATCTGGTTTTCAATGACTCAAGTAAATGAGCACGCATGGAATCCATTATCAATAACCCTTTGGTTGGAAAAAAGATCCCTTATAACACTGCCAAACTTTTTATAGCCCCACATGCATGATTGTTCGCACATCCATCCATTCTCATTTGCACAAATAATTACGTCATTAAGAAAATCTCCCTTCGGAATAGTTTTTCTTTTAAAAACAATCATTGACTTTAGCTTGTCACCGTTTGCGGCACAAGCTAACATACGTGTAAATAACGTTCTTTCATGTCCCATCGTAAGCACAGATATAGTTTTGCACCAATTTCATCAACAGTTCTGTTTGGAGGAGAGTCGAAAGCTAATGGCATTTTATCCATATTTATTATCTGTTATGGAAGAAGTTTTTTTTGGTCAATATCTGTCACATATTTTAGAAAAGATGCTTTTTTATCCTGTCAGACCATTGGTAATCATTGGTCCATTGTTGTCTGACTGTTAATCTAGTATACATAGAAATATTTTTTCTTTTCATAAATTTGCTACATCAGCAAGGCCCTCTTTTGAAATCATTTATGTTCATTTGTTTTGCCATAAATTTTGCTTGTAAGCGAATTTTTATAGTTGAAATTGCCATTCCCTTTCCTCGTTGCTCCTTTATTTGGCTTCCAAGGTTATCCTCTAGATTTGCCTACCTTACAGTACCAATTCTTTGGCTGTTTTGTTGTGGCATTTTTAAGAAGTTCTTTTCAGTTTCCAACGTCGAATACATCTCTCGACTTCAACTCTCGAGCTGCTGCTCGATTTCCAGTGAAAAAAATTACTTAAGCTTAAAACCAGCAGTATAGCTTCTGTGCCGTTTAGGTGACATTTTCAAAAATTTTTCACTCCCTTCTTACTTAAAACTATCCAACAATACTGTACCCAACTGATGGATCTGTATCTGGCAGAATGCCAAGAAAAATCGATTCATGCTGAAGGGAAATAGTCAGTTCGTATTGCGAGGCAGGTGGAGTCGTGTCCGCCTTTGAAAAAATTGCAGAAAAGGCAGGGGTGGGGAAAGGATGGGTCCTGGAAGATTCATCGAATGGTAGAGGAAAGAGACTATTCAAACTGATGACAATGTTGATTTGAAAGGGGGAAGAATGTTATTGTTCTGAGATCTCATTTAGGGTGAATAAGGCATGTAGGTCCGTTCAAGGAAAATACTGAGATTTATGGCCGCTATGTGGTGTTGTAAACAGCATGCAAAGATTGCTTTAGATGCTTTAGAGATGTAATGATTTTGATGTTAAAGATAAAAGCTCTCTGACAGGCTGAAAATGTTTGAAGAAGAATTGAAGATGATCATGACTGATGCCAGAAACTAGCTGAACTTGCAGAATCATTAGAAGTTGATCATACAACAC